CTGTTTCAGGAAGACTTAACCAGCTCTTTAGCTGTATCAGTTACCAAATACGCGTTTACGCATAAGGAGGGCTGGTTTCTTACCGCCACCTCTCATTCCAGCCTGCTGCAGGCTCTAGATGGGAAACAGGCACAGAGCTATGGGAGCAGAGAACACCCCTAACTCTGTAAGAGGCCTCAAGAGTGTAATGGAGAAATCCTTCCCAGGCCGAAAACTCAGACTCAGAGCTTCCCAGACAGGCAAAGGCAGGAAAGGGCCTTCCAGGCAGAGCGGACTGTGGGAGGAAGCTCAGGGCACATGCACAGGGAATTAGGTTTGACAGGTGAGAAGGGACCAAGAGCTAATGAGGTTGGTTGGTTGGTTGGTTGATTGGTTTTTTCACATTTTATATCACTCCCTATGAGGTTGGGGTTTGTTTATTTATTTATTTATTTATTTATTGAGATGGAATTTTGCTTTTGTTGCCCAGGCTGGAGTACAATGGCACAGTCTTAGCTGACTGCAACCTCTGCCTCCTAGGTTCAAGTGATTCTCCTGCCCCAGACTCCTGAGTAGCTGGGATTACAGGCGTGCACCACCACACCCAGCTAATTTTTGTATTTTTAGTAGAGACAGGGTTTCACCATGTTGGTCAGGCTGGTCTCGAACTCCTGGCCTTAAGTGACCCAGCCACCTTGGCCTCCCAAAGTGCTGGGCTTACAGGCATGAGCCACGGCACCCAGCTGAGGTTGGTTTTTACTGAGCTATTTTATAAATCATCTGGGGAGCTTCAGAAATCCCCAGACCGACCCAATCAGAACTTCCAGGTGATGCCTTTAATCTGATGACTTTGGGAAACGTGGCTGTAGTCTAGACAGAGAGTTCTCTAGTATAGTTGCTGGCTAAAGCCTTAAGCAGGACCCACGCTGCAGAACCTGTCAGTTTGGTAGGCCTGGGAATGAAGGCAGACCAGTTCTTCCTGTGAGGTGCAAACAAAAACTGGAAAAACAGCGAGACAGACGTATCCAAGCTCTTTCTTGGCGTGGCTGAGGTTGCACCATGTCAGACTTTGGCCATTCCTGAAGCCCTCTCAGCAGGGGCTTCTGTCCTTGCCAAGAAGCTAGAAAGAACTAGAGGACAGATGAGTCAGAACGGAAGGGCACGAGGTTTCTGGGCGTCTAGGGGTGCTCACCCGTCCCTCAGGGCTTCCCCTCCTGCTCTTCCCCTTTCTCATCCTACCCAGGATTTCTTCTCCCTATAAGTGAGAACCCCCCCTCCCCAGCCCCCACTGCAGTCAGCCTGAGGATGCAAGCAGGAAGCTGTTGGAGCTTGAGGGAAGGGAAGCCAGAGTGGGATGCCCGTGATGCTGGTGTCTTTGTTCTCTGAGCTGGACAGGAACTAACCACAGGGCAGCCTGCTACCAGCAACACTGGGTTTTGTTTGTTTGTTTTTTTGAGACGCGGAGTCTCATTCTGTTGCCCAGACTGGACTGCAGTGGTGGGATCTTGGCTTGCTGCAACCTCTGTCTCCCAGTTTCAAGCAATTCTCCTGCCTCAGCCTCCCTAGTAGCTGGGATTATAGGCATGTGCCACCAGGCCTTACTAATTTTTTTTTTTTTTTTCCTTTTTAGCAGAGACGGAGTTTCACCAGTTGGCCAGGCTGGTCTTGAACTCCTGACCTTAGGTGATCCACCTGCCTCAGCCTACAAAAGTGTTGGGATTCCAGGCCACCACTCCTGGCCCAGCAGCACTGGTTTTGCAGGGCAAACATCGTTTGTCTGGAGTCAGTCATGTGGTCTACATAAGATGTGGTCCCTCCGGATTCCCAGCTGGCCCTGGCACTTGGAGCTGGAGAGGGCATGTTGACAAGGGTGAGGCTCCCTGATGATGTGCAGTGCTGGCTCTCAGATGGTAACGTCAGGGGCCTTTGTCTTGGAGAACCCTTCCCATCCCACTTCAGTTACTCAGCAAACATTGATTTGAGGCCCTGCTGTTCTGGGCCTGGGGCCCAGAGGAAGAAAGGCATGACCCCAGTCAGTGAGTGTTGGCTGAGAAGCACACAGAGGCAAAGCTGCTGAGATGAGCAGGGAGAGGGTTGAGATGCTCTGAGGACAGCAAGGAGGGCACTAACCTGGAAGAGGGACCATAGAGATGCCTGAACTGAGTCTTGAAAAGCCAGCCAAGCTGCTCACCCCAAAAGAAAGTTTTTTCTGGCTGAACAAACCAGCCAGAGGGAAGAGACCGCAGTGCGATTTCAGGGCTAAAACGGGAGTGTTTACAGATCTCCCTTCCCCAGAGACCCTCATGCTTACCCCCAACCTCCCAACTCCCACAGTATCTCCGGAAAAAGAGCAGAAAAGGCCCCAAGATGAGGTATTGCTGGAAGCCGGTGGGGAAAAGCTGCTCAGTCTTCTGCTGAAGGGTGGGGAAGGGAGCTGGGGTCATTCCTGGCTGTTGAACTGTGCTCTGCCAGAGTGGGGCCAGTCCCGAGGGCTTGGAGGGGGCTTTCCCTCAAATCCCGGCATCCCATTGCTGCTGCTCTGCCCACCAGACCTGCTAATCCTGGTGGCCACTCATTCATTCGATGGTTTGTTGAATTAATAGTGAGGGGCACCTTCTCCTAGATGCTAAAGATACAGCCACGGACAAAGATCCCACAGGCCTTCGTTCTAGTGGGGAAGACAGAGAATGATCAAACGAGGAAAGGAGGAAGACAAGAAGGGGAAAGGGGGGAAGAGGTGGACCCGTCAGGTGGGAGGGAGGGTTCAGTAATAGCAGGCGTGGGGCAGAGGTCTGAAGGAAGGGCAGGAGGCGGGAGGGAGGGTAGAGGAATCCCAGCCGGAGAACAGCACCTGCAAAGGTCCCGAGGCAGGCCTGTCCCGGGAGCCCCCGAGGGTGGGCGGAGCAGGAACTCACTGAGCTAGTGCCCAGAGCCCAGCTCTGCGCTTGTGCGTGCCTGCGGCCCACTGCTCCCTAGCGCCGGCAGTTAGACAGATTGCTTCATCTCCCTAAGGCTCAGCATCCCTGACCGTAAAATGGGAAGAATGGTGTTACCGCACCATGGTGTTCTATGTACTTTTTCTAAATAAATGGCAGCTATTAGCAAACTTTCCCAAAGGGGATTTGGAACAAGATAAGACACTAGTCTCTTTCTTCTTTCTTTCTTTCTTTTTTTTTTTTTATTTTATAAAAATATCTTAAATTACACCACCAGCAACACATGCTGTGTGTGGGGTGTGTGGGCATCAAGTACCAGCAACCACAAATCACACACCTTCCCCCACTCCTCGCAGGCCGGGCTTGCCCCCATCGCTCCAGAGCTGCCTCACAGGCACCAAAAGCAAGGCCGGGAGGAACCAGGAGCTTGGCTGGGTCTGGGTAAGAGAATGTCAGAGCCAGAATTAGGCTGCAGTCATCTTCAGACGAAACAGAAAGTTTCTCTTTGAATGGACACTTCCTTCCACTTTCTTTCCATTAAGCAGAAGCCTTAAGGGTTTAAGCCTTTTTCAGAAAGTTTGGAGTTACAGCTAGTGTAAGGAGACAGCATCTCCCTTTTCATCTTTGGTTTTGAACGTGAGTCACTGGGAGGTCCCTCAACGACTGGCCTAGGTCTTCTGAAGCGTCTCGGGGATGTGAGCAGGTTGTAGCAATCCCGCTGTGGCCCCCACGCTGCCGAAGGCCCAGGCTGAGCGATGGCTGCCACAGCTGATCTGGAATGTTCCGCTCCATTGCCCTGAGGCCAGCCCTTCTCCAACCTTCTCGAGAGCCATCCCACCCGGCCCATGCCTCCCAAGGCCAGCTCACGCCACTCATCATCAGAGCACAGCACGGCCCAGCTCTCTCTCCTGCAGGACACACAGGCCTCCCTGCCCTGCCTGGCCCACTGTTCAGCTCTCTCAGAGCCCAGCCCATCCTACCGGGGGTCAGCGATGGTGGGAGAGATCAGTGCAGACCTGTCCTAGAGAAGCCTGCCAGAGCAGGGGAAGAAGTCACAAGAATGAGGAAATCGAGTGCTAATTATTTTTCCTTAGACAGAGTCTTGCTCTATTACCCAGGCTGGAGTGCAGTGGTGTGATTTCAGCTCACCACAACCTCGACCTCCCGGGCTCCAGCAATCCTCCCACCCCAGCCTCCCAAGTAGCTGGGACTACAGGTGTGCGCAGCTAATTTTTTTTTTTCTTTTTTCTTCCTGGCAACTTTCATTTAATAATTTTTAAATTTTTTGTAGAGATAAGGTTTTGCCATGTTGCCCAGGCTGGTCTTGAACTCCTGGGCTCAAGCCATCCATCAGCTTCAGCCTCCCAAAGTGCTGGGATTACATGCAAGAGCCACCCTCACCTGGCCTGAGTGCTGAGTTAAAGGAAAAAAAAGAAAAATCTTGGAGACCAAAGGTGAAGCCCGGGGTGGAAGTTGACCTCCAAGCGGGAAGCAGGCAACCTAGCACAAGCCTAGGCTCCGAGTGGAGCTGAGAAAGAGGAAAGGCCCCTGTTCCATGGGGAAGGCAGCCTCTGACTGTGGCAGTCGGATAAGGACTGGCTGGCAGGAATGGGCATCTAGCTGTCTCTGCTGCTCCCGTGGGCTGGGGATGATGGTACCAGTCGGGGCTGCATGGCTGTCTACAGGCAAGGTGGCTGGGTCGGGGTCTGTCACCTGCAGTGGCTGAAACACACAGCAGCAGCATCAAACCCAGTCTGAGATAGTCATGAAAGAGATTTAGAAAAAGACATCGATTTTGTTTCCCACTCGCTTTCTCTAAAAACACTCCTCTCTAATTGATGTATGATAGCAATCGCTCTCACTTACTGCTCATTTAATGTGTGGCGGGTGTTTTCCTGCCTTTAGCTCATTTAATCCCCACACAAATCTTATGAGGTCTTATCACTGTCTTCACTGTACAGATAAGGAAATGGCGGGGGGCGGGGGGGGGGGCGGTTATCTCCAGGGAAGTTAAGAAAGTTTACCAAATAACTTGAGCAAGGTTTAAATGGAGGTCTTACCCAGAGACAACTTTAATCACCAGACTGGCTCTACTACATTTTATTTAAACAGCTCTTTGGAAAGGGATTGACCTGGCTGCAGGGTCTTCCTCTGATTCAGTTCTTTGGATTCAATCACATTTAAATCAGTCCTCCTGTTTCTACCTAAAAAAAAAAAAAAAAAAAAATGCTTATAATATTTACATATTTATTAGGAGTCTCCATCTCTGCAATGGTATGTTTCCCAGGTAATTTTTCTGATGAAACCCAGAAAAGAGAGAGAAAGAGAAATATTGATTGAAGCCTATATTGTGACAAGAATTTTGCTGAATAAATGTTTGTTTGTTTTTTTTTGAGACAGAGTCTCACTCTGTCATGCAGGCTGGAGTTCAGTGGTGTGATCATGAATATTTTTCAAAATATTAGATCACTAGCTAGAGTTTAGAGACCCTTTGTCATGAACAGAGAGTTTGATGGGATGGAATTGCTGTAATGTCCAGACTTGCTTACATTTACTGAAGGTTACAGTGTTCCCACAAATCACCTTCCGCTGGACAATTTACCTTTGCTCAGTAGGCATTGGCTAGTGGAGAAATGGTTTACATTTGACAAAGAGGCCGAAAACACACAACACATCTCTACGTTAATTTTTCAAGAAAAACACCTGCCCAACCTTAAAAAATCAGTAACCCTGAGAATAGGGACTACCATGAAACTGTACACAGCTAACTGGGATTAAAGTAGACCTCAGAGCTCTTACTGACCTCTCCTGACCTCTGCTGGACACATCTGGGATTGCATAGCTCCCAGGTCCTTGAAAGTAATCAGCAAAGTTAAGAATCTTGAAGTTTACAGAATGCCTCATCTAAATCTCTCATTTCAGAGATGAAGAAAGTAAGATTCAGTGGGCTTATGTCACCTACACAAGAGCACACAGTTACTTAGGCATATTCAGGACCAGCACCTAGAAATTATTTATTGCCTACCCAATAAACCACATAGGCAAGTATTGATTAACTTCATTGGAATGAATAAATACTCTTTGGATTATCTGTAGAGAACCATCATTTTTAGAAATAGGAACAGCTGACGTAGACAAAGTGGTAACCAAGAGTCAAAATTAGAATTATTTGAGCAACGTCATAGTTACCTTTACATCCCGTATCCCACATCCCCTAATCCCATAATTCTGTTATTCTCTTCAGTGACCGTTTGGTGATGTACGTAGAGTAACAAAGAGAGTCAGAGAATTCATTTTCACAAAAGCTCTTTTTTAGCTGCAAATTTCTCTCCCTGATTGTAGTTTGTTAAAATGAGTTTGTCTTCCTAGCGGAAACTTCAACTGACCATAAGAAATAAGACTGCCAGGATTAAAAGGATTGTTCCTTTCAAGAACCAACTCTGCCAGTGTCCCTGTAGAGACACATGGAACCCAGGGGAGATTCCCAGAGGTCTCTGATGCTTCTTCAGCCGGGAGTTTCAGGTCTTCCTATTATATCCAGGCTGTATCTAGAAGTGAATGACCACTGAACTATGTAGTCAAATTATTCCACATTTTAGAATCTCCAAGTGCATAGTGTTAACTAAAGGAGTAGAGTATTGTATTTGAAAGAACATAAGCTCTGTAGCCATGCAGTTAGTGGCTGCTTACTAGCTGTGTGAGCTTAGGTAAATGACTTAACCTCTCTAAGCTTCAGTGTCCTTATCAATAAAACAGGAATCATAAGTGATACTTTTCTAGAAGGTTGTTTGAGAATATATGAGACTGTGTGTGTGAAAATCCTTAGCACATACCTGGTGCTATGGGCCAAGGGTAGGGATAATGTTTGATTTCTTGCATGGAATTAAATATACACCAGATTGGTTTTTTTTTTAGAGACTGGGTCTCTCGGCTGGGGACCCACGCCTGTAATCCCAGCACTTTGAGAGGCCGAAGTGGGTAGATCACTTGAGGTCAAGAGTTTGGGACCAGGCTGACCAACATGGAGAAACCCCGTTTCTACTAAAAATACAAAATTAGCCAGGCGTGGTGGCGCATGCCTGTAATCCCAGCTACTCGGGAGACTGAGGTAGGAGAATTGCTCGACCAGGAGGCAGAGGTTTCGGTGAGCCAAGATCACGCCATTGCACTCCAGCCTGGGCAACAAGAGCGAAACTCCATCTCAAAATAAATAAATAAAGAGACCGGGTCTCATTCTGTTGCCCAAGCTAGAGTGCAGTGATGTAATAACAGCTTACTGCAGCCTCAAAGTGATCCTCCCACCTCAGCCTCCTGAGTAGCTGGAATTACAGGCACATGCCACCATACCTAGCTAATTTCTTTTTCTTTTAATTATTTGTAGAGACAGAATCTTGCTGTGTTGCTCAAGCTGATCTTGAACTCCTGACCTCAAGTGATCCTCCGGCCTCAGCCTCCCAAAGCACAGGAATTATAGGTGTGGAGCCACCACACCAGGCCTACAGTAGATTTTTTTTTTTAATTTGAGACTGAGTTTTATGCTGTTGCCCAGGCTGCAGCACAGTGGAGTGATATTGGCTCACTGCAGCCTCAACCTCCCAGACTCAAGCAATCCTCCCACTTGAGCTTCTCAAGTAGCTGGGACCACAGGCACCAACACACCTGGCTATTTTTTGTATTTTTTTGTAGAGATGGGTTTCGCTATGTTGCCCAGGCTAGTCTCAAACTCCTGGGCTCAAGTGATCCACACGCCTCAGCCTCCCAAACTGCTGGGATTATAGGCATGAACCATTGTGCCTGGTCTAAAGTGTCTCTTTAAGGCGTTTGTGAAAATAGTCTTGTCCATCTTAGATCGTTTTATTGGGTCTTTAGGATATAGAATTGAGTATTTCTCCATGATAAATGTATAAGTCAGCACTTTTTTGTGAGAAAAATAAAACTAGCATAAATTCCACCATTAAGATCTGGTGTAGGGGCCAGGCACAGTGGTTCATGTCTGTAATCCCAGCACTTTGGGAGGCCGAGGTGGGGAGATCACTTGAGCCTGGGAGCTCAAACCAGCCTGGGCCACATGGTGAAATCCCATCTCTACTAAAAATACAAAAATTAGCCAAATGTGATAGTTTGAACCTGTGGTCTTTGTTTTTGAAGGCTGAGGTGGGAGGATCACTTGGGCCTGAGAGGTGGAGGTTGCAGTGAGCTGAGATTACACCACTGCACTCCAGTTTGGGTGACAGAATGAGACCCTGTCTAAAAAAAAAAGACAAAAGGCATGTCTTTGATTATCTGACTCTTTTAAAACATCCTTTAAAAGAGTTTTATATTTTTATATTTTAAACATCCTCTAAAAGAGTTTAAATGTTTATAAATTTTTGTGCATTTGTGTTAGGTTAATTCCAGGATACATGATAATTTCTGGTGCTACTGTGACATATCTCGATTCATATTTTCTCATTACTTATTGTATCAGTAGTATCAGTTATATCACTTATGCATGGCTGTATAATAAACCACTCCCTAAACTCAGCGAATAAACACAACCATGTTGTTACTCATGATTCCGGGGTCAGAGTTTCAGGCAGTGCTCCGCAGGAAGTGCTCCACATGACATCAGTGTGGTGACTGGACTGTCTTAGAGGCTTCATTCACATGTCTGAGGGCCTAATGGTGGGCAGGAGAGCAAAGGCACATGACAAAGGGATGGATCGAGAGAGGCATGATTCACTGGAGAAGGTTTTTAATATTTTACCTTAGTGAGGAGGAACACAGTATTGGTTAGACTTGAGTGTCAACTTGACTGAGCCATGGAATGCCCAGGTATTTGGTCACACATTATTCTGGGTGTTTCTGTGAAGCTGTTTTTGGATGAGCTCAACATTTGAATTATAGACTGAGTCAAGCAGATTGCCCTCCATAATGTGGGTGGGCCTCATCCAATCAGTTGAAGCCCTGAACAGAACAAAAGGCTGACCATCCCCCAAGTAGGAGAATTCTCCTGTCTGATGGCCTTTGAAATGAGTCATTGGCTCTTCCTGATTCTACAGTAGCTTCTTGGCTTCAGACCTAAACTGGGGACATCAACTCAGACTTGGGCAGATTTGGATTTGCCAGCCTCCATAAGCTTAAGCCAATTCCTTCTAGTAAATCCTTTATTATTTCTTATAATGAATGAATGAATGAATGCATCCTATTAATTCTATTTCTTGAGAGACCCCTGAGTAATACAGCACTATTAACGTTTTAAGTGATCATTTACATGACAACCTTGGGGAATTTATTATTCATAAATTTTTTGCTTTCCTAATAATCCTTACACCTCTAATTTATTTTTCTTTCCTTATAATGATGGCAAAGACCTCCAATACTACAATTAAAAATAACTTTGATAATGTGTATCCTTGTCTTTTTTCCCCATTTTAAAGCAAATGAGTCTGAAATTTCTTAGCTAACCATAATGTCTTTCTGCAGGTTTTTAGTAGATGCCAAGTTAAGGAGGGTATTCTATTTCTAACTTTCGTCCTTTTTTTTTTTTTTTTCTGAGACAGAGTCTCACTGTCACCCAGGCTGGAGTGCAGTGGCACGATCTTGGCTCGTTGCAGCCTCCCCCACCTCCTAGGTTCAAGTGATCCTCTCACCTCAGCCTCCTAGTAGCTGGGATTACAGGCACCTGCCACCAAAAAGATTCCAAAACTGAGTTTCAAAAAAGGGAGAAGTAGCCTGGTGGTTTGAGTGTGACGTGCCTCTGGCTAGGGCTTGGAGATTTGGAGTGGCAAGAGTGAACAATGAATAACAAAAAGTAGGAAAAGCTTAATAAAGGCTCCCACTCACAGGATTGGCCATGTGAATTTTCTGTATTTTTAATCAGCACAACATTCCCATGGAACATGCACACCTGTTGGTCCCATGTGCCAAAGATCAAGTGGCCACGCTGGGATTTGAACAGTCCTTCTGGGCCCAGAGTTCAAGCTAGAGTTAGATGTGTATGACCTGTGTAATGGCTTAATTAAATGTTGGTGTTTATGCAGTGGAAATACATACAGTACAATCAGTTCATTACTTTTCTTCACAGCCTGGACATTAAATACTTTCTCCTTTACCTTTGCTCTGGGCTCCCACTTGGAGAGAGAACCTTTGCATTCTCAAGGACAATCTGCTTGTTTCCACTTGGACAGCCTGGCGAGAAACAGTGCGAATTCCTATAAAGCTC